GAAAATGCTTCACTGAAAGCAATGGATGTTGGGGAATCCAAATCCGTGATCAACTTGTGAAAACTGTGTATTAGATTTTACTATAGAAAATTGAGAACAATTATTGATTGGGAAAGTACATTTTAATAAGTGGGTGTGGGTGTGGATGTGAGTCGGTGTGAGAATGGGTGTAAGTGAATACAAGAGATCGACACCCACATCGAAACCACACTCATATCCACACCCACGCCCATACCCATGCAAATATCGTTACTCTCAATACTACAAATACGAACTTGAAGTCTTTCAAGGTAAAAAGTATTTTTTAGATACTTTTTAGTCTTTTCACGCATGTTTAATAGAATTAATTTATTTTTGAACAATTTTAATGTAAGGATCTCTTCCCATAACTATATCTATGTTCGAAGTGAACTTCATTCCTTGTTGGAATTAATCGATTTATTTAAAAACAAGAAGATTTTTCAAAAAGAAAAAAGAGTAATTGACTATTTCTATGAAGAAATAATCTATCTTTTACTTATACACTCTCTCGAGATAATGGAAGCAAAAATAAATAATTTATAAAAGTTTTTTTGTTTTTCTTTTTGTAGAGATAATTGACTAGTTTCTGTGAAGTTTAAACTGCACTGCATTAGAATCCTTTGGTAAGTTTTCATACAAAAAAAACAAAGATTAATAAAGAAGAGGCTGAATTAGCCCGCCCCCCCCCCTCCCTTTATTTCTTACCGAAAGCACATAAACCAGAAACACCATTAAGACCTATAATGGCTAGTCTCAAATCTCCAACTACTGGCATATCGAAATGGTAAGATGGTTTATTAAGACCTCTATTCAATCGATTAGCATCTGAGACAACCATATCGAACGGGTTTCAACTAATAAAACAAGTTGAAAGGTGGTCGACTACATATCTTACACCAGCCACATCATTCATAATAATGGATGTTACTGATTTATATACAATGATACTTCAAGAAGGAGGAGTAAAAGCCATAAAGACATTGATTGAAACAATTGGATTAAAACAAATCGATGATGCTAAAAAGGAGATTATATTAGTTCTTACCAGATTCGTTATGACCAATAATTATTTCTATTTAGATGGGTCATATTATAAACAAATACGTGGAGGAGCTATGGGCTCACCATTGACCCTGACAATAGCTAATGCATACATG